ACCTTCTTGACCGTATTTCCGTATGTGATTCTCTACTGAAATGTAACGAAAACGTTCCATTTTTAAAACAAATTGTGATGGGCGATGAGAAGTGGATACTGTACAATAATGTGGAATGGAAGAGATTGTGGGGTAAGCGAAATGAACCACCACCAACCACACCAAAGGCCAGTCTTCATCCAAAGAAGGTGATGTGTATATGGTGGGATTGGAAGGAAGTCCTCTATCATAAGCCCCTCCTGGAAAACGAAACGACTAATTCCAACAAGTACTGCTCCCAATTAGACCAACTGAAAGCAGCACTCGACAAAAAGCATCCGGAATTAGTCAACAGAAAATGCATAATCTTCCATCAGGTAATGCAAGACCGCATGTTTCTTTGATGACCGGGCAAAAACTGTTACAGCTTGGCTGGGAAGTTCTGATTCATCCACCGATTCAGCAGACATTGCACCTTCGGATTTCCGTTTGTTACTGTCTTTACAAAATTCTCTTAATGGAAAAAATTTCAATTCCCTAGAAGACTGTAAAAGGCACCTGGAACAGTTCTTTGCTCAAAAAGATAAAAAGTTTTGGGAAGATGGAATTATGAAGTTGCCTGAAAAATGGCAGAAGGTAGTGGAACAAAGGGGTGAATATATTGGTCAATACAGTTCTTGGTGAAAATGAAAAATGTGTCTTTGCTTTTACTTAAAATCTGAAGGGACTTTTTGGCCAACCCTATACTTTATAATCCTGCTTGCCACAGGGAAAGTCAAAACAGCAGTCACGTGCTGGCAGAGCTGTACTGGAGTCATCCCTCAAGCATCAACGCTTGCCCACTCAGAGGAGGAGAGGCGGTGGGAGAAATCAGCTTGGAGTTCAGGATGTAGCTGTAACATTTTGTGTGTGAATGTGAGGGTGTGCTTTGGAGGCACCACCAGCACCTCCAACAGCACTGGTCACTTACACTGAGCACCTGGGGGCAAATGTGAACACAATTCTATCTGACTGCTAGGTCCAAGCACATAACTGCTACCACCGGACCATCCATGTCATCAAACATGTACCCTTCGAATTCCTTTTCCAGGAATGGCAATGGATTTATGCTGAGTCACTCAAGCTTTCACTTCATCCAGTGGTTGTGAGCGTGGACTCTGGAACCAGCTCTGTCACGTGCTAGCTGTGTGACCTTGGGCAAGTTACTTAAAAATTCTCTATGACTCCAATTCCCCATGTGTGAAAGGGTGGTAATTATACTAGCCACCCATAAGTCGTTATAAAAATTAAATGAGTTTAGACATGTAAAGAGCCTAGAACATTGCCTGGCACATATTAGCTACTGCATAAGTGTTAGCTATTTTCATTCGTTCATCTAATATTAATTTAAAATCTCTGCTCTGGACACTGTTAGGTGTTGAGAAGTAAAAACAAAGAAGACACAGTGTGCTTCTACTCTATAGTATAGGCTTGTGTTTTATTTATCTCTTTGTGCCTAGCACAAGAACCGTGAGGTACTCAATATATGTTTTTGAATGTGTGATTGGATTGGGGAAACAGGCAAGTATACCACTAATTTCAGTTAAATGACTTTAACAGTGTCTGGCACATAGAAAGTGCCTGGTAACATATATGCATTATAAACTATTTTAATTGTTAATTTAGTAGAATAAATGCTGAGACTGAGTGTGAGGACTGGAGGCTGAGGGTGAGGAGGTGGAGGTGCGCTCAGGGAAGTCTTCCAAGAGGCAGTATCACTGAGCTGAGTTTTGATCAGTGAGTGGGCGTTAGCCAGTAAGAGAAGAGGGCTAAGTGTGTTCCCGGCAGAAGGAACATTGTGTGCAGAGCTAGAGAGGCGTGAAATAGCACAATACATTCAGGGAGCTCCGAGTAGGCAAGTACGACTGGAGCCCCATACAGTGTGCATTTGTTAAATGAGTATTTGAGATTAGAGGCTGGGAAATGAAACAAAACAAGTGAGACATCACTTGTGTCACCCTGGCCTTTAGCATTAGCTAAATAACCAGTTATGGACTAAGTGGCTAGGGGATTTTAAGTTGTTCAGTATAGTCCTTCCCCTGGTACAAATGCTGTTAGTCTATACAGCATTGCTTTATTGTCAACCCCTTCTTGTCTTCTGATAGAGGAAGTAAAGTCACTTAATTTACCTGTTGTTTTCAAAGTAGTTGAGATGAATTACAATAAAGTTGATGGGATCATGGTGTAGGTGAAGATGTTTTTGCATAGTAACATAGATTGCTCTAGATCAGGGGTTAACAAGCTGTGGCCTAAGGGTCAAATCCTATCCACTGCCTGTTTTTATAATTAAGCTTTTTTGGAACACAGCCATGCCCATTTGTTTACATGTAGCCTAGAGCTGCTTTAGCACCACACGGCAGAGTTGAGCTGTTGTGAAAGAGACTACATGGCCTGCAAAGCCTAAAATATTTACTGGTTGGCTCTTTACAGAAAATGTTTGCCAGCCCTGCTCTAGAGTCATCTCTTCTAATCTGATAAATAAAAACCACCTAAATATTTAAAACAGGGGATTGATTTGGATTTAGAACCAACATGGCAAACAACAGGTTATTAAATTTTTTAAATTCACTACCAAGGAGAGAGAAGATTGCATTTAGCCATAAAGGGTACGATAAACATGAATAAATCAATGAACATAGATTCTGTGACTGGTCTTCAAATTTGACTCTGAGCTTCCTGGCAGTCAGGGAAAAAAAAAAGAATGGAATTGGTTATCTGTATTAGTTACTTACTGCTTCGTAACTTATTGCTTAAAACTTAGTGGCTTAAAATAGCCACCATTTACTATTTCTCATGAGACTGTGGGTTGGCTGAATGGTTCTGTTAATCTAGCAGGGGCCTGGCTGATCCTGGTGGGCTTGCTCATGCATTTGTGATCAGCTGGTGTTAGCTCTGGACTGGCTGGTCTGGGATGGTCTCAGGTAGGATGACTCCTCTCTACCCCATATGATCTCTCATCCTCCAGCAGCCTAGCTGGGGCTTGTTCACACAGCAGTGGCAGTTTCCAAGAAAGAAAGAAAATAGTACTGCACACTTGAGGCTTAGCCAGGAACTGGCACATTGTAACTGGTTTTGCATTCCAGTGGCCAAAGCAAGTCAAATGGCCCAGATTCAAGGGGTGGGGAAATAGACTCTAACTCTTGAAGGGAGGGGCTGCAAAGTCACGTTGCAAGGGGGAGGGGAACAGAAGGGAGAGAACTGAGGCCATGATTAAAATCGATCGGCATCTTAGCCCGCATGTATTCCAACCATAAATTAAAAAAAGACAAAGTTGTCTCTGTGGTCTAAAGTGGAAAGGAGTATTCATCGTATGTCTATTCAGCCCCACCCACAGATATGAATCATCATTGTCTTTAACTAAGCGGACCAATATCTTCTTGCTAATGACAGATGCAGAGGAGTGGAAAGAAGCCTGTCAGAAATGTGGCACATACCATGTGAGACCCAGGCCCATATTAAAATACCATCTTGATGAATTTCACCAGGGAATCAGACTCAGTTTTAATAAGTTAAGGGGGTAAGGAAAATCGTTATCACAGAAGTAACCAATGGCTAAACCAAACAGCCTTTGAGACTACAGACCTACAGTATTCTTGCTGACCATTCCTATGCCCCTCCACTTCCGTTATCAGGTGGTTTTAAAATTGGTCACTGTCAAAGACAACATTGCTATCTATGGATATGGATATGATTGAAAAGATGGAATAAACAGTCTTTTAAAAACTCACTAGCCTGGAAGCTGCTGCATAGCACAGGGAGATCAGCTTCATGCTTTGTGACGACCTAGAGGGGTGGGATAGGAAGGGTGGGAGGGGATATGGGGATATATGTATACATATAGCTGATTCACTTTGTTGTACAGCAGAAACTAACACAACGTTGTAAAGCAAGTACACTCCAATAAAGATATAAAAAATTTTTTTTTAATTTTAAAAAAGAAAAAAGAAAAAATATCTCACTAGCCATGTGTTGATTTTTAAAAATTTATTGCTGGAATATCTTCATTATTACCAAAGTTGCCTTAATAAATAATGTTAAATATAAATAGCAACAGTGATGTCAGGAATCTGCCTTAATGTTTCTTTTCCTGGTACCATGGGCTGTCAGTAAGAAGAGAACAGAGGTAACCCTAAATCCTTAGAGTCTATTTGGACTCTACTCATAATATCCCAAAGCTCCAAAAAAACTAAAAGGCAAAGCCTTAAAAACAAAACTCAAACTCCCAAACCCTTTCAGACAAAGCCACACAACCTAGGTTTGGGAATATTCTCTCTGGCCTAGAGCCAGTCAGCGTGCTTAAGTCTTGTTCACAAGAAGCTGACACCTTTACACGTGGCCTTCCATGGAGCTGCCACCATCAGACTTCTGTTGTAGCAAGAGTAGTGCATGGGGAGGTACATGACAGAATTTAGGGAGCTATTAGATGCCTGTTGACTCAGACATCAGGACCAGCTGTGAAGGGAAATCTATTTCAACTTAGATACAGTGAAAAAGAACCGAGCTGTTGACATTATTGAAGAGATGGGGACGAAACTTTCAGCATGCTTGAAGATAACCAGCCTCTGGGCGGGTCTGGGAGAGGTAAGGCTGTCTCAGGAAGGACAGATGAAGCTTTCAAAATTTGGTGTGCAGAAAGTCAGAAGTTAACCTTGGGCGGGCCACAGAAAGGTTAAGTGATATAACATATTAAATACCTGGCAGGGTACTTAGAAAAGTAGATCTCAACAAATGTTGGTTCCTTTGCTCTCTCTGTATCTCCCCTCCACCTGAGAGATTTCTTAAAAAACGACCTGCCAGCCAGCTGCCATTGGAACGATAGGATAAGCTGCTGATAGGCGGTTAACAATCAACAAAATTCACACTCAGGTAGACGGAGCAGGGCATGTCACCTTTCCTACCCCTCTCCTCATCACAGCCTGGAGGCAGCACAAAGACATTCCTTCCTTCCTGCAGAGGAAGTGTGTGTGTTCTCTCAGACCTACCTTGGCATTCCTTGATGTCTTAGAGAAACAGATGACCCCGACTGAGCAAGACAGTCAGCAGAACAGCAGCCCTTGATGCTGCAATTGGAAATTTCCATTCTTTGCTTGCAGCTCTGAAAAAAAAAAAAAAAAAAATCTAAAGAGCCCAGTAGCTGGGAAATTTCCACAATGGAAAATTTTAACATATTCTTTAGCTCTAAACTATGCAGGTTTATAGAGACAGTTTTTTTCTTTTGGTAATTTCCTTCTTTAACAATAATTTATGAACATGGTAACACTACAGCTGTGGGAATAGGGAGGGCAAGATGACTTGGAGGGGAATGGATATGGTTTGGTTAGTGGGAGGCTGTGCTATATAGGCGTTTGACCACCTGAACCATAGAAATGCAGATTGCTACAAGACCCACTGGTTGGGAACTCATCCAAAATAGAGATAGTTTGCTCAGTAGCACTGCAGAGAAATCTGTTTAGAGACTTGAAGTGGAAAGTGAATGGAGAGAGCTTTGAACAGGAGATGGTGAGTCCTGTTGCTGAAAAAAACAATCTCAGGCAGATCTCTTCGACCACTGCTTCTTAAACCTAAAAGTGCATATGAATCACCTGGAAATCTCGTTAAGCTGTAGATTCTGATTCAGTAGATCTGGGATGGGACCTGAGACTCTATGGTTCTAACTGGTTCCCAGGTGATGCTGTTGCTGCCCTTCAGTGGTGCCCTTCTAAGGACCACTCTGTGAGTAGCCAGACCATAGACAACAGGTCCTCATCAGTGTGAGGCCAACTTGCCTTCCGTAGCAAAACACAGTCAAAGGACAGCTGGAAGTGAGCTCCCTTGGGGTTGTTTTCTCAGATTACAAAGCTACGGTCTAAGAGAAGAACTGAATGTCTTCTGGAAAGATGCTTCATGCAAGTCTGGATAAAGTGGATCTTTTGAAAGTGTGGGGATGCAAGCAGTTACCAGAAACCTACTTACTCCAGCAGGTTCAAGTTGGTGGTTTCTGGAACTCAGTGCCTTTCCAGAGAAATCCCTATAAGAAGGTGGTTAAGATCCCTAAGCTGGTCCTGTCTCCTGAGTGATTCTCCAGCATTGTGGCATATGGGGTGAAACATAGATGAACTAGCTGCAATTACTGAGGGAATACTGTTGGCCAGAAGGGTAAAATGGGGGAAAGGAATCTGTAAAATAAATTACATCCATCCCATCCAGAGTAATTGTCTCACTTTTAATTGAAATAAAATAAAGTGGGAATAGGAGAATTTTCACCTTTGTGCTACCTATTTTCCAGAAAGAGCCAGAGAAAGAGAGACCGAGAGAGAGACTGAGAGAGAGAGATCTGGAATCTTTATTCCAGGGTGTTACCTCCAGTTGAGCTGTAATGTATCTGCTGTGTGTATCTTTAAAGCAACATTTGTCCTATTTTTCATTTTCCATTCAATTGAGTTTTGGATGGGTTATTACTACTTACTTTTCAAATAAAGTACACAGGAGCATATGGGGAAAAAAGAGGAGGGAGATTACCATCATGAAAATGTAGTGTTGAAATCAGAGTGTAACAGGCATGAAATGAATTTGATATTAAAAAGTATTAAAATATATATTAAAAGTAAATACCTATGCTAGTATCCTATCATTACATAATACTTATATATTCTAAATGGCTTATAGGATTATTTAGGGATTTGGACTTTTAGAATTTCTAGGAGATTTAAAAAAATCTTCACTGTGGGGTTAAGGTATGATGATTCAGCATTGAAATCGATTTCCTAATTAAGCAAAAGAGATCAGTTTTGATTTTTTCTTACTATTGGTCTCAATGAGCAATTATTCACCTAAGAGTCATCTTACAACCTATAGCCAATCAAATAGAACTTGCTTGATCCACCTAAAGTCACATCTACTTAACAAACACAATAATTATAATAAAATTTAATATTATGGAGTACTTACAACAAGTGAGGCATTTGATCCTTACAACAAGCTTATAAGATGGGTACCATTGTTATATAGATGAGAAACTGGGATTTAGAGAGCTTAAATGAATTGCTTGGGATCCATACGTTATGGCCAAACAGGGTCTCTGGCCAAACCCAGTTACTCTAGTGGTTTTTCCAAATGCCACAGCTACATCTCAGCTTCATTTCCCTTATCACAGACAGATGGATAGATACTCCTTCTCAAGTTTAACAACTTCACAGAGCTTGATTCAGATACTGAATGTGTTGTTAGTTGCTTACAGCTGCTATTTCTCTAGCAGTGCAGTAAGTCCAGGCAAATTCTTTTGAAGAGCTCATTAAAACTGCTAAAATAAAGTCTTAGAAGCAGGTGCATTCATTAGCTGAAATGCAGACGATTATGTTAATATCACATTCAGGTGACAAATTTAAAGCCATCGAAATCATGGAGGATAAACGGATTTTTAAAGCTAAAGTTAACTTTTCCCTTGCAGAGCTCTTCTCTCTGTTAAACATGTGACTGCCTTTGCAGCTGTCAACCTGGAGACCTCCAATGTTACCTCACAAAAATAAAATCATTTTTGCAGTATCATATTTCCTTTACAATTTCTTGGGTCTCTATTCAGGAAAAGAAAGGTAAGGAGTTGCCTACAAGCCTACTGCTATTTTCTAAATAGGAAATCTGGTGCTTGATTTAAATCTAATGTCAGATTGAGCCCAAGGGTAGAGGAGACATGATCAAGAAGATGGTTAGAATATGTGGATGATAATTTCAGGTTAGGATCAGATGGACAAACAGCTCTCTCACCTTGCCTTTTCTTTTTTCTCTTAAAGAAATACTGAGCATGAAATATGTATATGACCATACATGTGTATTTAGGAGGCTGTACATCAGAATCTGAATAGTTACGCCAGGATGATTTTGATTTTCTTTTTTTGTTTTGTATTTCTCAAATCTTCTACAATGAATATGTATTACTCTGTAAATTTAAAAATTATTACAAATTATTACGGAACAGTTAGCCTCTCCACATTCAGTTATTTTACCTATAAAATTGGGTTACTTTTTTTTTTTTTTTTGCCGTACGCGGGCCTCTCACTGTTGTGGCCTCTCCCGCCGCGGAGCACAGGCTCCGGGCGCGCAGGCCCAGCGGCCATGGCTCCCGGGCCCAGCCGCTCCGTGGCATCGTGGGATCTTCGCGGACCGGGGCACGAACCCGTGTCCCCTGCATCGGCAGGCGGACTCCCAACCACTGCGCCACCAGGGAAGTCCCCAAATTGGGTTACTTTTTAATTGCCTAACATATGGGAATCGGATGAGATGTTTTCCCAACACCCTTTCTTCTCAAATCTGGGATGTCTGTGGAGACACTGATTCCTCCTTTCAGAAGAAAATATAAAAGAGGAATAGTATCCAGCCACTTATAAGAAAATTATAAACATGCTTAAAGATTTTTTTTTAATAAGTCTTCAAAACCTCCATCAAGTGGGAATTCATCAAAGTGAATGCATCTGCCACTTGCAAAGAGAAAAAGAAGGCAAACTTCATAGGCCAAATTTACGTTATTTAGGATTTTTTTTAAGTTATACACTCTGGAAAGTCTTTGTAAGCTAAAACTCGACATATTTTTTTTTTAAATGGTATGATACAATGACTGTATTACTGATTGCAAAATATAAATAATGAAGCTGCTATAGAATTGAACCCATCTATTGGGCTCAATACTATAAGGCATGTTTACATATTGTGTGTGTGTGTGTCTAAAGAGCTTAAATTAACAGCTGAAAGACTGCTTGTACAGCGTAATAGTCCTATTTTTGCCTGCCTTCCTCTTCAACACTTCTTCTATCTTGCCCTGTACATTATTACTTTCCTTTTTCCTACACAATTTAAAAGACAACCGACCTCATCTAAAATGAAAAGCAATATAGAAAGCAGGAAAAATCTCCTCAGGATGGGGCTGGGTAGGCATATACTTCTACATACATGTAAGCATACTGAATACATGTACACATAGATGAATCTCTGCTCCAAATTGCCGTTAAGCCTCATTAGTTAGTCCTTTGACTGCTGGACAGCTCCGAGTCTCCTAGGAATATTTTCCCACCCACTTCATCTCCTGTTTAATTCTCAGAGCTGCCACCTTCTGAGAAGCTGCTGGTTCAAGACAAAGTGAGGAAGGTGGCCGGAAGAGACTCCTGTCCTTTCCATATGGCGCATCAACACCCTAAGTTTAAAGGGTGAACTTCAGAGCACAGAATTTAAAGATGAAAGGAACTTAAGAGGACACATTAATCAAGTTTTCTTTAAATGTATGTGTCTCTTGCAGAGCATAACTGATAGTCATCCAGCCTGACCTTGAAATTTTCCAATATCGAAAATGTCTTACTTTTTTCATTTTTATACCAATAGATGAGTAGTTAGGGCACAAAAAGCGTTCAACCACAAGGCCGAAAAGGAAAAAAAGAAAAAGAATTATTCCTAATCCTGCCACCCTTTAAAATATCAACTATTTTAAAATTTCTGTTACTGATCCAGGACCCCCCAGTCTCAAGTAAATATAACCCTTTAGGGTCCACGAGGAATGTAAAGAGAGGCTGAACCATTTGGCTTAAAGACATTTTGGAGATTTTATTTGTCCACGGTATCAATCACACCATAAGAGTTAGACCTTGAAAAGGAAAATTGTGTAAAGAATTTATAAGCCTCACAACTATACCCCAATTAAAAAAAAAATGTATAAGCCTCAGTAGCACAGTGTTTCCCGAATCTCTTCCTAATTCATCCCCTTTTGTCACTCTGACACCCATACAACAAAAGAAAGTTCCTCAGATTACCTTACTGAGGGATCTTTCCAAAATTTACAAATACTATCTAAGTTGAGAAATGTGTTCCCAAGTTGCCTAAATTGTACCATATAATGGTATTCTTTTCAAAGGAAATTGGAGAGTTCAGCAGTATTCTGAAACAACTAGGTGTGACAACACAAAGAACAAAAATAACAAAAGAAAATCCTTCAAAGATAGTGTGCCCTCCAGAAACAGATATCCTGCCTTTTTACATTGGCCATATGCGAGAGTCTTTTAAGCTGAATTGCAATGGTGAAAATGCTGTTGAGTTTTAGGGAAGCAAATTTAGAAAATCAATTAGCTAATAGGATAG